GATTTCAACATTAGAAAAGGCATAGCATGGACTGCTTGTAACAAAATGGATAAGATCTGGAAATCCAATCTTGCTTGTCAATTCAAAATCCAACTTTTCTGCGTACTTATTGAGCCAATCTTACTCTATGGCTCTGAAACTTGGACTCTCTCAGCAAAACAACAGCGTCGTTTAGATGGATGTTATACACGTCTTTTAAGAAGAGTGCTTAATCTCTCATGGCGAAACCACCCAACTCTAGAAATGATATATGGTGACTTGCCAAGAGTATCAACTTTAGTTTGTAAGGGACATGACCAGTTTGTAAGAGATGTGTCCAGTTTGCCGGGCATTGTGCACGTGCCACAGATGAACTTGTGTCATCATTTGTACTCTGGAGGCACCCATCATCTGTCAATCGATCACGCAAGTTAACCTTTCCAGATAGGATAAAACGTGACACATTGATCCCTAAGGAAGATCTTTTAGGTGCTATGACAGATAGGGAATACTGGAGAGGTGTAGTGAGTTCAATCTCGGCTGAGGCCGCAAGATGATGATGATGATTGAACATAAATGCATAATCTCTATTAATAATCAATTAATAAGGTATTGTATGCAAAGAAGATGGTTAAAACTTTCTTTCATCTGTACTGAAGAATACAACATACATGTGTCGGAGTTAGTTCCTCCTTAATTCCCTAATTGTTCACTAGGGGTATTTCTCCTACAATATAAATACTAGGCAACTTCTCACCTTGTTCTCTTTTCTACTTTGCATTTCAGCAGACACATTTAAAAATGTAATCTCTCATAGAAATCCACATTTTGCCCACTTGTGGGAAAACGCCATGAAACATATATACACGTACATACAAAACTTGAGTCCGGCATTGTTCTTGTAGTTGGACCTTCTAGCAGGAAATAAATAGCACGTGTTTCTAATTCAACAACACTCAAATGCACATGGTCCTCTACACATGTACACTAAGATCAGTGTCATTCGCACACCAATCCCTGTTTAACCCCTTGACTATCATTGACACCTTGGAACTCCTCACCAATTTTTATATTACTTGGACCCTATTTGACAACCCCTGCATTAGACAAATGATATTGCTCAGTCCTGATATAAACACTTTAAATTTTATCCTTTTAAATGTATCATAATTTAGCAAAAAGTTCTGCTGGTAACATTTTGGTTTGTAAAGCACTTTGGTTATTAACCTTGGAGAGGAATTTTGCAATAGACTTTGTTGAAGTAATTTTTTATCTTCTCCAAAATGACCCAGTACCTTCATACAGAAAAATAAAATCCAATAAAAGTCCTACTTCATCTAATCTTTGTAAGCCATATATAAACTGGACTTAATCTGGGCTGGAGCTGTTCAATCCTCACTTTTCAACCTTGACAGTATTCAAAAACATTTACACAACCTTGTGGGTGATGACTTATTTTCCAACCTTCAAACCTCCTTTTCCTTACAGATGCTTAAACATTGCAAGCCTATTCAATCACTACTTCTATGGCAAATCTTCTGATGAGCTCTATTCTTTAGTGCTACTAGTTCAACATTTACAGACAAAATTCAATTTTCTACATCCACAGAGTTGAATCATCCCCATTCCCTATCTATTCCTTTGGTAAGTAGGGTGTTTCACTCTAAAAGCTTTTTCCTAAGAACTGATAATTTATGGAGTAGATTTGTGCTTCCATGAACATTATAATCTTAATCTCTTTACGTCTAGAGCCAATAGTTATCGATTCATCATATACTCATAATTTTCACTTCTTACTTTCTCCTCATGAGTGGCTCTTGAGCCTTTTATTTGGGGAAATTTAATAAGAATAAAAATAAGTAATTGATAATCACTTTGCAGAACTTTTCTTAATATTTCATTAATTGAGAGAAAAAAAAAAGACAGGCTAATAGTTTTAATTTTCTCTTTACCAATTAATTACCATTTATCTTCCATACTACACCCACCAACTATAATGAACTTACTGGGATTGTACTTGACTAGTAGCAGCCAAATCTAACAAAGCAGTTGTCATTTTGTTTGTTACTGTCATACCAACTATACTGGAGACAATCCAATTATTCAGGTTCTTATTGACAGCATTATTAAACTTTATTAGAATTATGTCAACAATTCTGAATTTACTTGTCTTTGTTTTGACATTTTCGTTATCTCCAAACTGTATTTCAAGTTCTATATGTTAGTTTAAGTGGTTATAATCTTTAATCACTAACACTTCAAGGCTATTTGGTAGTATAAGTACCTATAGTATATTTATTTCTTCCATTGAATCAGAGTATATGACACAATAAGTGCCTAAGAGACACATGTTTTGGTTTGGTTTGTTTTATGGCATATCAACCTCAATGGGTTATTTAATGCTGACAAAATTTTTATTGCTGGTAATGTTTTTCTTCAAAAATCTATTTCTGGGAATATTTTTCCTTGAAGAAATCTATAGCTGGTCATATTTTTTCCAAAGACTGTATAGCTGTTTGTATTGCTGGTATTTTTTTAAAAGTATTGCTGATAATTTTTCCTTCAAAAATAATTGCCTGTAATAATTTTTTTTTATTACAAAGTATTTCTGGTATTAAAACCTATTTTTACACAAGTTTGGGTGTTAACTATTTGCCCATAGCTGGGATCCTAACAGGTGCTACCACCTCGGGTCAGGGTGGACCTGGGAACGCCAGCAATTAAGAGGTGGTTCCATGCTCCTCAAAAACTCTTGATCAGAGGCCTTGCTGCTGGACATAGTTTATCGTCTTACCAGGACACGGATGTAATTTATCGTCATACCCAGGATGGAAGAGACACATGACCTCATCAATTAAAGTGTTGGTTAAAACATATTGGGTATTTTTGTAGTTGTGAGTTCAATCCCTGCTTTGGTAGTGCTGAAAAGTGACATATTCTGGTTCAGTGAAGTAAACAAAGGAGCAACATAAAAGTAAATAAAACTCTGACGAGTACTAAATATTACAGAGTATCTCCAAGGCATAGAATGAGAGTAATCTACTTTACAGATTGAACAGAGGTTTAAAATTCCAAGAAGGGTGACAAGTAGAAGGAGAGATACCTGAAGAAGGCCTGAAGATACAATGGCCGAAATGTTGTGAACTTAAAAATCAAGTTGAACATGCTGGTTTGAATGTAAAATATAAAATAATGATAATTCCTTATTTCAAAAAATAACAATAAAGACTCTTGCCTTTTGTTTCTAAAACTTTTAAGGGTGACAATTGAATTTTTAAATGATGATTGCTTAAGAATTTTGCATGCATAAAAAACGTTCCTCTTGTCCTCATATTGAAAATATTTAAAAAACATTTAGTCTTTTTTAATGATGTAGAAAATACATATAACAATATACTTTCTCAACAGAACAAATAATGTTGCAATTATTTAACTGGACTCATATTTTAATGTCTATATTATATGATATGAGGGAGTCAAAGTGTAAGTAAACTAAACATGTTTTCTGGTTCAAAAGCTGTTTGTAAAAAAGGCATGATTCCATCTTGTTATACTCTATTGCCAAATGTTTTTACATAGGACTTGTCACTGTTATGCCATGATGATTAACAGGGAAAACTACAGTTAGATAAAAAAATTCATTCTTGTTACAAGTATCATGTAAGCCAGTACTATGACTTGGAGAGGAGATGGGCATCATTCAATAATGATAAAGATATAAAAAAAACTAACAAAAGACTAACAGGCTTTCAGATCACAGGAACAACCAACAACAACATTAGTACAACTTTTATTTATGTTATAGAAGTTGCTTGGTAAATATAATGTGCATAAAATGCCTAAGTTATTTTGTCAAAGATTGAAAAGCGATGTTTCAAAATTGCTGATATTTTGAAAAAAACTTAGAAAATGTGAAATCTATGTATTTAAAAGCAGAGTAAAATTTATTGGAATATTGATCTCTCACAGAAAGTATAATCAGCTGTAGACCTTATAAAATATTCAGATAATAAAAGATTTGAATAGATCAAGTCTAAAACTATTCAAAGTAAATTAAACAAAAAAATAAAATAAGCAAATAAAAAATGTGAATAAAACAAAAATAAAAGAAAATCCATTTCTTATTTTTAACAGAACAAAATTCTTTCTCTGCTTTTTAATCAGATCAAAAAGCATTATTAGTAGTTTGAAGTTAACAAAGTATTACTATTAACGTTTTTCTTTAAGAATAACAAACTCAAGAGAAATATATAGTTACATTTTCGTTTGTATTGGGTTTTTTTTTCGAGAGATACTTTTTTACACTCATTACTTTTGTTTAGTAATGTTTTAAGTTGTGAAGAAAGAACGCATGGAATCTGTTCGTGAGTAAAATTACATACTCCAGTTAATATAAACGTTCAAAGATGAAAGTCAATTATTTTTTTTACTTCCACGTTAATGTAAACAATACCTGAGGGTTTTATTTTTTTTTATAGTTTTCTTTTATAGGGCAGACAAAAAATTATGGTTAAAGTTAAAAAGTGTAGGAAACCAGTATTTGTAAATGTAAAAGGGACATTTCTTATTTATAGACTATAATATTTATTTTATATCATTATCACGAGGTTAAGTTCTTTGGTACGTGTTTAGAAAGAAAAGATTCTTAAAGTAAAGAGAATTTCTTTGGCTTTAGTTTAACATTCTAAGTGGGAACTCTACCGCAGAGGTTAAGTTGTCTAAGATATGCACCATTCAAGGGAGATAACTGCGTGGCGCAGGAAATGACGTAATATTAGTGCAGGATTGTAACCTGAGAAAAAAGACCGGAGTCACTCAGTAGTAGGTCTGAGTAATTTTACCAGTTATTTGCTGGACTAAAAGAAGAAACGAATTTCAGGGAGCAAAAAGGGCACTGGAGGGGGTATTTTTTTATTAAACGAGGTCCTGGTCGAATCTCCGCCCAATTCGTCCACGCTTTAAGACTGGAGATTGTAACTACCACCGGGACTCCGAGCCGACGCCATTTTGAATAGAACGAGATGGCAAAAAAGACGTACGATCTGTTGTTCAAATTGCTTCTAATCGGAGATTCCGGCGTAGGCAAGACCTGTCTGTTGTTCCGATTTTCGGATGATGCCTTTAATACGACATTTATATCCACAATAGGTAAGTTTCTTTATTTCATAAGCGCCGCTGGCTTACCGCGGGGAAAAATCGGCTGTTTGGGACGCCAGGAGGTTCAATGTTGTCTATTTCGGCCCGGTTTTTCAAGTAGAAAAACGTAGATAAAAGAAATTTCATGAAGTCACGCTTTGACAGGGCGTAATCAGGTGTTTCGTGTCCGTTTATTCCTGGTCTAAATCTGGAAGAATTTTGACAGAATTCAGCACTGATATCTTTGAAGAATTTCGCAGTAGTTGGTCCTAGCTTGTCGATATCGTTCGTCTTGTCGACACTGGCTATAAAGTCGAACGTCATTTTTTTATTTTTCTCTTAATTTTTGGCTTTTCTAACTTTTCAAGATTAATTTTACAATTATTTTAATAGTGATCTTACCTACTTAATCTAAATGAATGGGGTTTATAATTACCTAATAAGTCTATTTGATGTCATTTTCAATTAGGCTGCCATAGCCTCAACTTCACAAGAAACAAGGACTCCACCCTCTACGGTATTTTTTTTTTCACTTTATTAAATTTCTCTGTAGCTTTATCTACCTAAATATTTCCTATCATTTACTTGATGTTTGTCAACTTAAGACTCGCATGTTTGCTTAAAGGTAATCTTAGTATAAAAATTAACACCTTGAGAGTAGCAGCTGGTCCCATCACGGCTGTTGCCACTGGCTAACATGTTGAACATAAGGCTATGGTCATCTTTTTATTATTGTAGCAGCTGACCTAACCTTGCTTCTGTCACCTCAAATAATAGTCGTTCTGCTGACTTGTTTTCTTGATTTAAACCGAATGTAGCCATAAACAAATGAAGTTACCTATATACGGTCATTGAAATCGAGTAAAAAAGTATTTTTTTCTGCTTTTAATAATATATAACCTTTCGGTTTCTTACAAGTTCTTTTTTTACCTTTTTAAATTAGAAGTGACTGTTGTACACTGTAAAAAAAAAAAAAAAAAATGTACACCAGTCTTTTTTTTTTCTATTCGTTATTTTTGTTTTGTTGAAAATATTAGTAAAGTTCTACTAATCTTTGTATTTGTGAAAAGATTTTAAAATCTTTTAGTAAAACTTTTTTTCTTGTTGCTGAAGTTTTAAATTTGACACACTTTAAAAAGTATATTTTTAGGGATTTTTTTTTTTTTTTAAATTTTTTTTTAGTTTTTCTTTACTCTAAATCTCTTTGTTTCATTTCATTTATTGGTAAAAAAAAAAAAAAATCTAATTTGGTTTGCCCCCCCCCCCAAATTTACCATTTGAACTTCTAGTTCAAAATTATTGGTTGCTATGGAATACCTTTTATTTTCCCTGTAGACTTTTTTTTTTTTTATTTTTTTTTTTTTTTATAGCAAAATTTAAAATATTTGCCATTGGAAGCTTTGATTATTCTGGTATTGACGTCTAAAAAACCTGTTGCTGAAATGGTGGGTTTTGTAATGAAATTAGTGCTAGTCTTTTTAGGATTTTTTTTTTTTACTTGTCTATTTGCATTACTGTAACTATTAAAGAAACCTGAGGAAATCTGGGAATCAGTAGAGCCTCTTTTAATGACAAATATTTTAGTTGTTTTTTTAGTACTTAACTGCAACTTCAAAGTTGGTGCCCCTTTTCTTGCTTTAAAATTAAATGTCGTCTCTATAAACACCCTTTCCTTTTTAAATTATTGTGACATGCTGGCATATTCACGTGTGGGGTTGACTAATCATTGGGTATAGTATTTGCTCGTGGTTGCCTGATTATTATTAGACCCCCCCCCCACATTTTTATTTATTTATTCAAATTCGTATTTTCATCAAAGTAACGGATTATAATAATTATGCTTCACAAGTAGTATTGTTTGTCGACTGATGGTGGAAGCTTTGTCTGTAGGCAAACCCCAGCATCATGTGAGCCAACAAGTTCTACATGGTAGCCAGTTGCTGCAGGTAGCAGGGGAGAGAGAGGGAGTGAAAAGAAAAAAAAAACCTGACCCACTCTTTTTATAACTAGTGTCATCTTGTTGCTTAGACATGTGAACAATTTGCCAACTGTCGGTTTTTATTTGCGTATGACTGACTCATTGGGTCATTTTGGACTATAATAATCTATTTTTTTTTCTTTTCATCTCTAGTAACTTCAATTCATTGCTCGTCATATGCATATTAAAATTAATGAGAATTCATGTGTAGTATGTTTTCATTTGTCTATCTTTGGATGAGAAGGGAACCTACAAGAAAAAGGTGTGTCGCATTACATGGCTGAATAGTTTTAGGTCATTTTTCGTTTATAGCTCTATTTTTGTGTAGGTTTGTGGTATGCATTATTCAACTTTTGCCTGCTCGTCTTGTCTATGGGCCGACTATAGTAGTATTAGCAGCGTAAAGTGATGAATGTCACCTTCTCGACTTAGTTACCTATGTATGTGTGCCATAGTAATCTGGTTAGCTTGCTACCAAGTTAGGTTTTTTGTTCTCTATATATTTTTTTTGCAGCCGGTCGCCAGGCCGATTTGATCGACCCTAGGTGTCCAGGGAAACTAGCCTCTCCTCATCTTTTACTCGCTTGATTGGATATAGGTGTCTCCACTTGTAAAAGTTTCTGCTTATTTACTTAACTAACTACCTATTTATTTATTTTTTATCTGGTTGTCCAGGATCCCTGCAGCTCAATAAGTTAGTAGTCGTCTACTAACAACTCTCTGCTGTCGTATTTTTGTCTGATGTTGGCAGTCGTTGCTTCACCACTGATGACTCATTCCTTCAATTTTTTTTTTCTCCTTGGATAATGTTTATTTCTGTCACTTAAATGGACTCTTTTCCTTTTGTACTTGTTAAAACGATTTCTCCACGACAAGAAACCGTTAATTTTATCTTCTGCAAAAACATTGTAATTTAATGAAAGAACCTCAGGTTTCTGCCAGTTTTTCCTTAATTGAATTTTTTTGGTCGCAACTTTCCTTTTTAAATGCACTACACCTGAATTAGAATCGTTACGAGAATGTTTTCTGCCTTTTTTTCTTTTGTCTGATTAACACTAAAAATATTTTACGGATTCTCATCTTGGTTTTTTTCTTTATTTCATGCGTCAAATGTAAAATGTTGCACAAAATCTCTTTAATTTTTAAGTTGGTCATTATTTGAATTTTTTTCCTCTTATTTTTTTGCTTTTTACCTGTTAGAACTTTTTTGTTTACTGTCGATAGTCATTTTAGAAAGACGTAAAGATTTTATTAGTTAGTAGACGTTTTTAAAGATTCTCTTAAAAAAAAAAAAAAAAAAAGCATGCATAATGAAAAAAATGCTTATCGTCAAAAATCAAAATTTTATGTTTTTAGTATTAGGGAAGACCAAAGGATTTTTTTTTTTTTAATATTAAATTATATTTCTTAATCCCTTTTAAAACCTTCGAAATTTTGGTTAAAATTTGTTTTTCTTGTGTCAATGTGTGACCTTAAATTAGTATAGGAAATTTGAGCGTCTTTTTTCAGTGAAAAAAAAAACATTCTTGCAAAAATCAGATAATTATCGGATTTTAATGAAATTTTCAGGACTTTTTCACAAATGAATTAATTAGATTATTTTAGAAACGTCGTTTTTGTTTTTTGAAGAATTTAAAAATCAGGTCCTTCAAGTTACGGAAAACCTGTTGTAAATTGTAAAATTCAATAAAACATTTTGGTCAATGAAATTGAATTTTTACAATTTTTTTTTTTTTTTTTTTTAAATTATAATGATTTAATGTTTAAAATGCAATTTATAGAGGTTAGGTGATAACTGTTTTGTTTAGTGTTTACAGTTTACTAATCATAAATAGAAAAGCTTACTACGATACAGCCCCCCCCCCAGTATTAAAAAAAAAAATCTTAATTTTTTGGGTATAAACATTGCTAAAACAAGAGAAATAACTATAATACATTTATTGGATTTTCTAACATTTCTTCAACAAGCGTCTTCATCAGTAATAAAGCCAAAGTAAAACAAAAACATTAATATCTAAAATATCAAAAATTGTAAATTAAAAATTATATAAAAAAAAAAAAAAAGGTGTTTTGTATTTAAAGTAATTTTTAGTTATGTACCCTTTACTTAAAAATGCCAGAATTAAACTATTGATAAATCTATTGACACTTCCTAAAAATAAAAAAAAATTCTGCAGTATTTTAAACTAAAAATCTTTTAATTTAGATTACAGAGTAATTATACTTTAGATTAATTAAACTTTAGATTGGTTAATCTTCCTTGTCAGATTTGTCAATATGGCCAATTTTAATTTTTTTTCTTTTAAGAAAAACAAAAAAACTATAATTCCAATCAATTTAATTTCTGTTTTGAATGCAGCAAACTATTTTGCTTATTGGAAATATTAAATTTAATGTATTAGCTTGGAATTAAAACTAAAATAAGTTTAAAGATTTTTAATATTCATTTCAAACTTTTTCTTTTTGTACCTATTTTAAATGGTTTGTTTTCATAAGTTCACTTGTGTTCTAACAATATGACCAGAATTTTTTTCCCCTAACATTAGTTACCTCCACCTTGGATCTCCAATGATAAGTGAGGTTTCAGATCATGTCATGGAGAAATCTATTGAACTTTGCCTTCACAAGTTCATAGGCTAAACTATTGTTAAATATTAATTAGTATTTGGATCTGCTGATGTGTTATTTTTGCATTTTTACAACTTGGAGCCACCATCTTAAAACTGTATACTGGGAAATACTCTGACATTTCATTATTTATTGCAATGAGAAGTGCTCTACAGATTTCAAATTCCTCAGTACATTATATGACTTTAAGTTGAGAATAAAAATATTTGTATCACTCATAAGTGAAAATTTAAATGAATTACCATCAATTTTGCATGGAAATAAACAAAACTGGGTGTGGGAGATGTGCATAACTGTTTGCTGACAATTAAACCAATTTGAGATTTGATTCTCATTTTCAGTGTCAAAATTCATCCATGTGGTCTTCTACCATAGAATTTTTCATTATCTCTAGTGATTTTTTTCC